TCTCTACGGAACAAGGTTCAAGGAAAGGAAGTTTCAGCCCCAGACAGGGTTTAAGGGCTATCCCTTTCATCCCCACCTAACCCTCCATAATCACTGTACACCCTCCGACATGGGGCAAGGCTCTTCGGGCAGCGCTGCCAGCGTTGCAGCAACAAGGGAACCAGCATTGGCGGCAGGCAGGGCATCATCCTCGAGGATCAGAGTCGGGCCTTAGCAGGAGCTGGATTTGAAATTTGAAAGGGAATCTGTCTAGGTCTAAAGGTTAAAACGGATGCTGTGGGGCTTGATGCATGTTTCTCGGCCTTGGTAGGGTTTTTGTAGCTGGTCCTCATATCGCAAAATCCTCGGTCTGGAGAAGGGAAATCCGAGGCTATGCGCTAGCATGTCTGTTCGGGTATGCCGCGTTTCTATTTTGTATTTCTAGACTTAGCTGATGCCTGTCTCAGAAACTGACTCGGATGTGAGGAACGCCTTAAGCTTTTCATTAGTATGCCTTTCCATCTAGCCTGGGCAACATTGAGAAGTGCGGGATGGTTAGTAACGGGGGCTCGATGTTGGTTGCGGACGGACTGCTCAAGAGTATGATTCCTTCTGTTGGGATCCTAACTGGGAACAACGCCTTGGGGGTTACCAAGGGGCCATTTACTCAGCTATTAGTCTATGAACCACCGTGTTGTCCAGCCAGCCAGTCGTTTGCATGTCCGTTGCAGCACGGAGCATTCTCACAAGAACTACGTTCACCCTGGATCTCAAAGTGATTCCTCCTCCCGCTAAGCGTTCGACTGGGCCCTTGCTTGGACGCTCTCAGCCATGCCTTTTGATGCGTCAGGGCGCAGGCCACCTCGGGAAGTTGCAACTTTGGTAAGTTGGGGATGGGAGGGTATCTTGTGGAACAGCAAGGCGCTGAAATCTGGGGCACATGACTATAGGCATTTTCTTCTGTCCTACAATGAGAATCCCAACCAGAATATCTAGATACCTGGGGCTTAATACTTCCTTGTCCCTCTTTAGCATCGGATTCGCTCGCGCGCTCCCCCAGGAATTCAATTCCATGGCTTCAGCCAAACCTCCTAGGTTCTCCCGCGTGTACGCTGGCGTTGGCAAAAATAACTTCTCACATGCGCGCGACTGCTATGCAGGTCAGTCAATCATCCGGCTGCGCTCAAACTAGCATGCTGCGCATCAGTGGCCGCGTCAAAGCACCTACACGACAATTGCCAGCAAAACTGCCAATGAGGGAACCCTGCCAAGCAAGCAAATGCTGACTACGTGTTGCCACTGCTTGCCAGTCTGGACATCCCAGTACTTTCGAAATCTGACACTGCAGCTGAACCAGGCCCAGAAAAATTAAGTATCCCACCGTATGCCTAGATACTAGGTCAACTCACACCGAATTCTAAACCCACCCTCGAAACAGCTACCCCAACCCTCATCCCGTGAGCATACAATGTGTACCTAGAATGGAAAGGTACCTTTGAGAAGTCTTTAGCCAACACGTGACACCCCCTAGATTAAAAGAGCTTGTTTTGGGCCAAATTAGGGGTTAGAGGCTACTTCAAGGGCAGAGTCATTTCAGAACTCCTAGAATGAGAAGTTTTGTCGGTCGAGCCACACAAAAATTCGTAGGGCTTAGGTTTAGTGTAAGGTAATGTAAGGTGTTGGTCTGAAATCTGAAGAGTCTGAGGCTTATCCATTTAAAACCAATAGTTGTTGCTGAGCTCGGATCACTCTCTGAGAAGCCCCATACCCACACAACATCCAACCGTTGATTAGTCTATTGGGGCTGCCCTTTGGATTTTGTATGTTGGGATCAAAATTGGGCTTCCTCACCGTCGGAAACACCCTTGTAGAACTCCCTTGAAAAATAAATGCCCCTGCAGGATCCTTTGAGAGTCGAGGAGGCCCTGCGCAAGCATAAATAGTCACATATATATGTGAATGTATGGGTATGCATATATGTATATACATTTATTTATTAGGGTCCCAAACCACTGCAAAAGCCCCAGTTTCAGTTCTCTGCTCCATTTTGCATTTGATTCTCCATTCTCAGGTAATATACCTGAACCCTCTAAATGGGGCCTCTCCCCAAAGCATGGGCCGGTTGTAGAACGGTGCGAGGCGCCTGCGTCAAAGGATTGCTGGCCTCTAGTAGACCCCAAAATGCAAGGACCCTTCGTGTTCATTCCCTCAACCCGCACTTTCCAGGGTGTCAGGCTGGAGGCCTGTGCGGCTTCAGGTGCCGGGCCCACTTGCATGGCAGTTTTGGGCAGGGAGTGCTTGCTGTTCGCGATTCGAGTTTAGCTTTAGCCCTGGGCTTGCATTAAAGGCCGCAGGCGGTGTAACCACCCAACGCACGCAAAGCTGCGGGCTTCCTGCTGAAAAACAGACAAAGAACACAAAAGTTCGAAAGCTGCAATCACAAAGTACCTGGTCAATGTGGCATGGTTCAATTCCTTAAGCAAAAAAGGAGTACTGAGCAGGCTTGCAGGCATGCCGCCAGTGCGGCATATGAAACCCAAATTTCTGAAAACGGGAAGTGCAGACCCGGTAAGTCCCTCCATACAGCAAACCTCTTTTAGTTGCCCAACCATCCCCAAATCACGCCCCCTCTACAAGCGTTCTCGCCTGACAAAGCCCCAATCTTTTCCCATGCATCACAGATTATTCCTATCCCTTCATTTTACGCAACTTGAGGACGACAGCGCCTCAGCACCGGGACCGGCAAGAATGGCTCTGACCAACTCCGGCCTACCACAACTCTGAGTGCGCTCGGCTTCGGCTTTAGGAGTGTATGCGAATCTCCCAAAAGCCCAGGATTGTTGAAACAATCCCTGTTAAGGGGCACTGCATACTATTTCCATTCCTTTGTGACTCCCTCACTTGTTGTCTGAGCAGCTGCGGTGGCGGTACTGGCAGTAACAGTAGTAGCGGGAGTAGCAGCAGCAGCAGTAGCAGCAGCAGCAGCGTACTGCAGCAGCAGTAGGAGCGGGAGCAGTACCGGTAGCAGCGGCGGTAATTGCAGCGGTAGCAGTGCCAGTTGCAGTAGTAGTACAAGGAAACTTCCTCAAGCCATCTGGATGTTCGCACTGTTCTGTGGATGTCTTGGGGTTGGGGGTTCATAGGAATGTTCTGTTGAAATTTCTTGGTGTTGTGGGGTGGCATCATAAGATTCTGGCTAAGATTCAGTTTGGTCATTTTGGTTCTTGGGTCTTGGCGGCGGCTCTACTAACCTTCTGTTGAAAGTGCACCAGAGCAAGAATAAGCAGTTGCTGCGACTCTTGCTAACAGTCAAGTGAAAGCAGTTGCCACTGCTGCCACCACCGCTGCTGCGGCTGCTGCTGCTGCTGCTGCTGCTGCTGCTGCTGCTATTGCCACTCCAGGGGCAACTGCAACGCAGCCGCAACTTAAACCACAACAACGACAACAACTACAACCACAACAATTGCCAGCTCTTTGCCTATGATTGCTGCTGCTATTAATGCTGGCACCACCAGTGCTACTTCTGCTCCCTCTGCTACAACGACCGTTGCTGCTGCCGCTGCTAATTCCACCCCCACACAAGTATGTACAAAACTTTGCCACATCGTATTGATTTCATTGGATTGACGGGCGTTTTAGGCTACAGCAAAAACCGTGAAAATCCTAGACTCAACTACATCGCCGAGCATAAATTGCGACAAGATTGTAGGGCTAGCTAAGATAGTAACTAACAATGGTCTGCAGCGTACGCATCCCAGAAGTTAGGCTTCGTTAGATGCGCGGCGCCACCTGCAGCTCAAATGTCCAAGGGCCCCGATGAGGGAAAATTCCGGATAAACCCCAGCCATCTGCAATTTCTCCCCTAGCTCGTTGAGCGGACTGTCTGGTCTGGGGCCCAATCTGCAATACAGACGGACCCGAATGAAAACTGGCCAAGACGGCCACAAAGACGGCAAACCGCAGAATTCCTGAAGATGGGAGAAGGCGCAACTTGAGAAAAAGGAAAAGAGTCTCCCCATCCTTGCTGGCATAATACAAAAGCCTTTGACCAGGGCTAGTCGATCTTATAACTCAATCCAATGAAGCACTACACGCCAATAAGGCACAAAACAAAAATCTGCGTGCCAATTTGGGGGGACAGATCTCATTCCAGCTTGTTCAAATCACATCCCAGTCCGTATGTCTAGCTAGCACAACTCTCAGGACATGTGCGGTTTGAGGGCAACTATCGAACAACGTCCGGGCTGCTACCGAGAAAGAGTCCTCGTCAGTCCTGTCTTAGGGCAGAAGCGAATGATTGCCATGGCCCGCGAAGCCCTCGGGGTTGCACATATCATGAGGACAGATAGATGCTTACTTTTCTCAGCTTGTCCCAAGGGCTGACGGCTCTCAACAATCCGCGAGCATGGATGCTCACCACTTCCTATCGCTGGCTGCTTGTGCCAGCTTCTCAAGGGACTACTAGGAAGTCTGAGGGTTGGTTCCCGAAATCAGCAACATGAACCGCATGACTTCCCGGCAGCAGCCCGCACCGCAGGCTTGCAAAGCTTCATGTATTAGAGCAGAGCTCCAAGCTCAGCACCGAAGATGTAAGCTGCAGCTCTCAAGCCCTAGTTGTATGACTCTTTGACCTTTCTCGACCTCCTTGCATTGCTTGCCAATCTTGTTATTGCGGTGGCCATCCTTACCGCCGGAACTACACTAGGAAGCACGGTCTCTTTGCAGTTTGGCTCCACATTGCTTTCGCCGCGGAAAGAGAAGTGGTAGTTGCGTGAGGACTAGTCGCGATCTCTACTACTGGGCCTATCCACCGCACGAACTTCTACCTTTAAGGTGCGATCTAGATAGGAAGGACTGTGGGAAATTGTGCACGCTTTGTCCTTACCTTATCGTTTCTGCTTCCAACCCTGCATGCTCCATGCTAAGCCTTGCAAGCTCAGCAGAAACTTGCACAGCACGTCCCCGGTCATGCTAATGCCAGGACTGCGCCCCTGCGAGAGCACCATCACGCCACAGCCTGTTCACTGAAAGGCCGCGACACCCAAGAGCAGGGAAGTTGCACACACGGCCGCTAGGCGTCCGCTTCCGCTGTTTGTCAGGGTACCATCTGAGGTGGTAGTCGTCGTCGTGGTAGTTGTTGTGGAGCTGTCGGCGCCAGTTGTTGTCGTGGTGCTGCTGCCGTCATCAGCTGCTGTTGATGTTGTCGTGGTGGTGGTCGTAGCACCACCAGTGCAGGTGACACCGGTTCCGATGCTCTTGTCGGAAAGGCATGACGATCCAAAACCACAAGTGCCCCACCAATCCGGATCCTGGGAGGACATGGTGGCTGCCGAGTTGCTGGAGGGACAGGTGACTGTGGCGACAGATGCGGTACCTCCATCTTTGCAGGTGACGGTTCCCGTTGCACCTGCAGCAATCGTGGCTTCGCCATCGAAGTCCCAAGTGCTGGGCGACGCTGAGGCACACTTCGGTGGGCTGGTCATCCAGGCCCATTTGGCAGACACGCTGCTCACACTGGCTTGGAGGAAAAAGACCGGCAGCAAATTTGCCACCGCTGCACCAAACACTGTGGCCACAATGCTGCGCTTGACAGCCATTGCAAGTAGTTTGCAAGATGGCAGGGCTTCAATGGGACCGGGAACTTGATGCTGGTGCTGCGGATATGCCACCTTCAACGCCACAAGTGTCAGGGCGTATGTTCTGCGCAGGACAAGGCTTGGGCTTGGAGAACGCGTGCTTTCTGTGTGCCACGGGCTAATATGCACGAAAGACCAAGGAGGATGTTTCCTCAAAGGGTGTCTGCGCGCATGCGCTCATGCCAACAGAGCAGCACGGTCATTATGAACAGGTGCAACACAGGCAAATGTAAGAATGAACAGCTTAAGCAATAGGACCTACTTTCAATCCAGTGACTCGGGTTCCATGAGTGCGGTTGGGATTTTGTAGACATGTACCGCTACGCCCTGTCCAAGTCGATATCCCAGCCTCGCAGCTCATCGTCCTCGAGCGCGGCTCTCTCTGTCGCATGTTGACCCTACTTGGCTCAGTCATTGCTTTTTCATGATGCTCTGAGCAGTGAGTGACAGAAGTGTCCTTACCAGCCTGGGTGGTGAGCACTACCACCTCCAATCTCATCACGAGAACTACAGGTGTGGTGACGATGATCTCTGCTGAAACTGCTCCTTATTCTGTGGTGTGCAGGAATTCACCTTTATTATTCAGACGTGTCTTGGACCCGGCCACCCCACCATAAATCTTGTGGGGCTCCCAAACCACTAGTTGAGCTTTTGACCTACAATCCCTGGATGACGTGTCCTTGTTCATGGAATTGTCGGGGCGGTCCTTTGGGGACAATCCGCGGATTCTCTCTGCTACGGCTCAAATAGTGAATGAACCAACGGCTGCCATTGCTATCGCTGAAAAGGTCCTCATCCTCCTCCAGGGTTCCACGATCCTTGTCCCAGGAATCATTCGACCAGTCCCAGCCTGTCAAACAAAAAAAGAGTAAGGTCAAAGTCCTGAAACGGATGCTAATGGTGAAGATATGCTAAATCCTGTTGGGTGCTGGTCTTCCTGCCCCCTTTGATCCAAGGATGGACGCTTAGTCATGACTTGGAAGCACAAGGTGTGCTTTTGAGATCTTGCAGTTCGAAAGCACGAATATGAGGCAAACATAGAGCTGCACTATCCGGAGCTCGTGAGTTTCACTGCATTTCTTCTTGCAAGGCTTGTTCGGCGTGGCCAGATCTGCGAAAGGCATACGCCAACAATACCGTCCGTCTTTGCAGGCATCAGACTTAGAATCCTGTTTATAAGGAGACATGGCTGGACTCAAATTTGGTGCATTCCCGGCAACAAGCAACATGGAAGACTCCAATGTGGGGATCCTGACCGTGCTAAGTTTACTGCATGCCTTGGAAGCCATTACTTAAGCACATCCCTCAAGTCTGTACATACCATGCTGGAATGTGCTTGAGCCCCAATATATACCCTATAACCCCTATACAACCCCAATAATCCTGTAGTTTCCATTCTATTTTCCATTATCCCCATATAGCCCCTATATTCTATAGTAGTTTCCATGTTATTTTCCATCATCCCCATATGGCCCCTATATAACCCCTATATACCCCTGTATAATCCCAGTTTCCATTTAATTGTCCATTTTGTCCATTTGATTCTCCATGATAGTAGTTTCCATGTTCTTTTCCCTTATCCCATCCTCCCTAAATAGTAGTTTGCATTTACTTTTCCATTATCCCCATATAGCCGTAATATAGCCCCTATACCATAGTAGTTGCCATTTTCTTTTCCATTATCCCATCCTTGTTCTCGTCCGGGCCTCCGTACACTCGCGGAGGAGTTCCCGACCCGCGGAGCTCCTCCCCATCCACGGCGTCAACAAAGGTTCCGGAGAGGTTCGCCCTGTGAAGGGCCTGCACTTTGTTGATTTCGAGAGGCAGGTTCCTGGGATAAGGGGATTCCAGGGCTCAGAGTTCAGAAGCGTTGTACCCAGCAGTTCGTTGCACTAGGCTTTCAGGACCTCTTCTGTGGACTCTTCAATACTTCTAGCGTCCCATATGATCCCCGTAGCCGACCCAGGAGGGTGAGGAAGTGAGCGCGAGGCCTCAAAAGCCGAATTCTATAGGTCGCAGAGTCCCGGCTCCTTGTTTGCTGTTTTGGGAGACTCCTGAACTCATGTGTATTATGCAGTGGCTGTCAATCGCCATATAGGCTCAGATACATGATGAAAATCCCCAGACAAAAATCCGTTTAGCATCTGCCCTTTTGAGGCACGGGCTGGAGCGGCTGCTCCCCGACTGAAACTTCAACCAGCCACCACGTGCTATTAACATGATGGCTGGCTGCTGGCTCTCAAGGCGGGAAAGGACATGGCACCCGCCCTGCCGAGCATTCCCATTTCAATTGAGCTGATCAACCACATCCCTGCAGTAACATTCCTGGTGTTCCTATGCTGGATCCTGGAAGGGCCTGGCTAGGGCTACTCCACGGTGGTAATGCTCACTACTGCGGCTGCACAGCCATCTGTAGCCTGAAGCCTTGGAACCTTGCCGGCAACGAGCATCTACCCTCTACTGAAAATCCTACAAACTGCATGATGGCAATGCCTTTAGTCGAATAGGAAGTTTAAGGACTGGGCGACCAGAATGGTGCACGCAACCACCGCAACCCTCAAGGAGGAGCAGCGATACTTGAGAAAGTGCACTCCTGTGCTCTGTGGCAGTTACTCGAAATCCCGCTACGCAGCGCCCCAAAATGAGGCAGTCCTTGGTTTGGAACCCTCAAAAAGCATCCATCAAAAGCCCTCAAAAAAACTAAACACAAAGGCCCAAACAACAGCTGCTTTTGCATAACATCTTCCGAAGGCCTCAGACATGCGCAGGCGTCTGTCTTCGCGCCTCTGAGCTTTCCAGCAAATCGGGGGCATCCCACAGCTTCACGTACTAAAGGAGCCTAAATCACTGCCAATATCATCTAAGGTCTATTGGAGGTACCCTAAACCAGAATTACAAGAAATTCAGGGCCACCATGTTCTGAAAGCGATGGGTCCTTTTGCGGGTGTCCTTCTTTGATTCTTTGATTCTGGAGGTGAGGGCGAATGCTAGAGCTGAAATGACCAGGCCACGGCTCAAGGCTGCGCTGCAAAAAAAGTTACCTCTGGTTAGCAGGGACTGAAAGAATGGAAAAGGAAATGGAAACTACTGTCCTGTATTCTTAGTTATATAAGTTATATAGGACTACATAGGGATTATATAGAGGTTCTATATGGATTATATAGGGTGATATGGCGGGCTTTTATGGGACTACTATACGGTACGGATCTATTCCTTCATTCCTTGCTAACCAGACGTAATTAAGAAGAATATTACTACAAATCTCAGAAGAAGTTGTCCCCTTTTCTCCCCCCACCTAAAACTAGGCCTAATGCAGAGTATGCTGGCCAGGTAATTACGTCATTCCTGGTGGACCAGCGGATATTATCCCAATGTACTTGCGGGTGCCCAAATCATACTCACTTTTTGCGGGCCCTGTCGTTGAAGATCCCTAGGCTCAGGATCCACCGTCTAATGTGTTGAGGACACGCGCCGGAGACCCCGCGCCTGAGGAGATTGCAGCACAAGATGTGCGCCGCCATGCCAGGTGCCCTTGACCACGGACATGGCTCAAAGGTGCTGCAGTCAGCATCTCTTGATGAAGGAAAGTATGGGACAAATGCGGCCAAGCGGCGTGAGTACTATGTCTGTGCTTGCGCTATTTCTGCCCCACTGCTGCTACCTCGCCTCTGAGTCTCACAACTGCTGCAACCATCGCTCGCTGACGTCCGCTGTGCTAACGCCATTTCCTATCTATCTTCACGTCAATAAGACAGAGCAGAACCTGTTTTGGCAGTGGCTGGGACGACCGATCTGAGCAACTCGCCCACCGTGCCATTGTACAGCTCTGTGTGGGCAGGTTAGTGCATTGATCTTGCATTGCATTGATCTTGCATAGATTAATTGGCAAGCTTTCCAAGACATGATATGTAGTCTCACCATACTTTCCTTCCAACCAGCGGCAACCAGCGGCACGCCTGTCTATCTCACATTGGCGATCGCATCAAGAAAGCCCCATGTTGTCACAAACTTGCAGCTCAATGGTGGCCGGCAGTCAAGCCCAGAATGAATAACTCAATAATTACCCAAAAGTCAAAATTCAAAATCCCCAAACCCAAAAATGACAAACCCTAAAACACAAAAGCCCAAAAGCCCAAAAACCGAAAGCGTGAAACTGTGACATAAACTTTTTTTCAGCAGCCACAGCGCAACTCGCAGAGTCGCACGGAAAGTTTGGACCGCGCACAAACGGTGGGATTCCCAAAAAGGAGGGATTTCTGAAAATGAGGACCGATGAGTTTTTCTCATCAGTGGTGCTCTATGCTCACCGCCTGGGCGGAGAGCACAACAATGATGATGATGATGATGATGATGCTTGAAGTTCTGGTAATCGTAATTTTCAGATGTGGTTGGAGCAGGCATCCCTCTACGTTTTCTGGCTGCGCCTGCAGCACAGATTGTGGCAAAATCATGGTCCCAGCCAGCCGTCAAAAGGGCCACCTAAAGACAACATAACTTGTCTACCCCTGTATGACCCCAATGAGAAATAAAAAAGGGACCCCGGATTTTCAGACGTGACTTTTTGTGCCCTGGATCATCGTAGTCTGGCGCGCAGGTGCCAGGGAGGCAGTTCTGGACAAAGCCAAGGACAGAGTTTGGATGACATGTGCAATGATAAGATGTGCCTTCCCCAAGAAAATGAACATCCCATCCCCCCACAACTGTAGTTGCACATCTTATATGCACGCACAACTACGTGTAAACACGCATGTGTGTATACATGCGGGTGCTATATCAGGAATATCCATTGTTAGGGGGTAGGGATGCATTGTTTTGGACAGAGAATTACATACAGCTGGCTTTGGTAGCCGCTTAAACTGCGCTCTGCAGAAGGATGAGGCAAGGCCTGCCAATCGGGGCACTGGAGCTGCCAAAGGATTTTTAGATCCAACTCCATCACATCAAGCCCTGTATCACTTATG